CCTTCACTCTGAACTCTAGGCAACCGGAGAAGCCAAAACCAAACCAAATACTTCATGTTTGGGACTCGCGAAAAGCGCGACCGAACGTTGCCGCAGAGGTCTGCATTTAGTGAATGACATACTGTTTGCGGGCTTGCTGTGCTGACGTGAGCAGCTCAATGAACCCTCCTTACAGCACATGACCTGATCTGGACGTCATCCATCTGCATCAGGAAATTGAAGCCTGACTGTTTCCTTTCCTTGTCCTGTGAAACATCCCACACCAGAAATGCTAAAGGGGTTATTAAACCCCAAGACCCAGGTCACCAGGTTTTCCGGTTGAAGCCCAGAGCCCTAATCATATCCTGCCTGGGGGCAGAACACCAGTTCCCACCGCAGGTGCCACACTTCGATTTGCTGGCGCAATTAACGTCCTGGGAAACGTCCAAACAGGCGCCGCCTCGGCTGCAGCTGACATGGAGAGAAAAGCAGTTCAGCTGACATTGAATAGAATAAAGCCCGCTTAATCCTCTGCTTGGCTTTCATGCTGCGCATGAGGAAGACCAAAGGTGACCAAAGGGTTGAACATTCAGGGAAGCTTTGAGCTGCACACATCTCAAAAAGCAGCTTCAAGCGAAGGCGCCAGATGCTACAATCATCTTGAACTCTGGGGTTTCTTGTTGATTCTTCCTCCATGAAATACGACAAATACAAATCTCAGATCTATGTCGTTGTTGGGGGGCATAGCTGCAAGTACAGAAATGTCCCATCCGGCAATGAAAACATTCATCCGCAAAACTGAAAGTAAGACACAAAGCCCACAAAGGACAAGAGGCACATGTCCTTTCCATATGAACCGCGGTAACAGCAGAAGCCACCGGTGGCCACGGCATCCTTTAAACGTGGGCCCATCAGTCAAGGTGCTGCAAAGTCCAGCTTGGATTGGCGTTCACGATAGGGCTGCATGACCCTTCTCCATGCGTAAACTCAACTCTGCTCGCCGTTGTGAATTAAAAAACTTGCTTGGAAAAAGAAAACCCTAAACCACCTCATGACTAGAATTTTCTCTGATTTGATATATATATATATATATTGATAGGACTGCTGGTTATCAGGGGTTGCATCATTGGGGCGGGGGATTCTTCACTCAGGGTCAACCCCAGGACTTAGTTCTGCAAATACACTCAACGGGTTGTCAATGCAGATGCATCTAGACCCACGGCATGCAGGGGCTTCAAAATTATGATTCCCATACAGCCACCAGTAGTTAGTCTACCCAGCTGGGATCACAATTTTCTGCGGCCTGAAACCTACCCCAAACCCTACAACGGCCCCGTTTTCAAGGACAGTAGTCTTTCTGGGACCCCATCTAAGATTCCATTTTAGTTTCGGCTGGCTATTGGGTAGCTTATTCCGCTCATGGCCGTCAATGACCCTTCCAGCGGACGACAATGGAGGCCTGTGCGCTGGCCGGGCCATCGTGGGAGTTGACCGCGCCCGCCCCACCTGCAACCTTCTTCACGCCTGGAAGCAAGGGTTTCGTGGGCATGGCTCGTCCACGTATATGTACAATATATATATAAGTATAAATGTATGTATGCGTGGGTGTGTATGTACACACCTAGCGATCAGACCCACAGGGTTTGGGAAGAGGCGCTCTATCCTGGGCTTTATTGTGGATCTCCTCAAACGTACCAAGTTAGCCAGACAAGCTTCCCAAAACCCACATCACTCAAGTTGAAGCACAGGTAGGGGGAGGGTCTCGCGTTCTCAATGCTCTACCCAGATGACCAGCATGTGGTTTCAGCATACGCCGGCCATGGCCTACTGCGCACTTGCATCTCTAAACATGACAACAGACGAGAATGAACTCAATGCATCAAATCCTTCCTTTCGGGTTTCACCTGTACGGCACCATTCTCCGCCACAGCCGGTGCAGCTCGAGTGGCTCTTGCCGCCTGGGTCGGCTTCTGAAACATCTGAAGTGGGGAACGTGCCGGAGCGCGTCCCACTTTTCCCACCCCACTCCCTCCTAGGGACCAGTAGGCCTAATCATGCCCTTCGGCCACCGAGCGCGGGATTGAAAGGATTTGAGGGATTTGCTTTGGGATGTCGCATGCCTTGGTTTTTTGGGTGCTGCATGCACACAACTTTTCTCCCAAGCTAACTAATGATTGAAGCTCACTCTCATAGCATCTGTCCAGTTCCTTCCCCACTACACTACTCCTCTAGCACCAATAGGGTTGTCTGCAAGCTCTGAAACCGTGTCATTCCTTTCGGAGCCCTAGCGCGACGCAGTACCAAAGGCCACCAAGTAGCAGGCATGGCTCGAATTTACCACACCTGGCCAAGAGCAGCTGACTCATCATGGTTCATCATTTGTGGGGTAGGGTACACTTATAAGTCGTACCGCCATTTGTAATTGCCCACGAAACTCCTGGTCCGAGCAGGGTTTGAAGACATCTCGGTCACGTTCATGCTTGCGCCAGTTGCAGGGAAGATCATGACCGTCTGCTTTCAGACTGCTTCACATCATGAAATCCCATATGGGCGTGCTGACCTGCTGGGATGAAGTTAAACATGGATAGTTTCCGAAGATGAGGTCCATTTTGGTACCCCCTGAGGTTTGGCACATTCTTTAATTGGTACACATAAGCGACAGATCTCTTTTGGTCGCGCGTGCCTGAGTCAAAGGCCGTGTTGCACTTGTTGTTGGGGTCCTGCGCGCTGATGACGCATTTGGGCCTCAGTCGGGCGGCAACACAAACTTACCTTTAGTGATGTTCTAACCTGGTCGCCCGAGTACAACCCCCCATTTCCTCCATCTCCACATAAGCTGTGATGTTGTTTACAGTTCTGGGGGGCTTTCTTTACATGGTCAACACTTTCGGTCGTTCAGCTTGAGAACCAGAACGTGTCCTTTGCAAATACACTTGTGCACATCCAACCTGCCACACCCGGGGAACCCAGGAGGAACTGTGCAGCAAGTCAATGCAGCACGGGCATGGATACCCCTAGTTAACCCTAACCCTGCGAGGCACAAGTAAACAACCCTCACCACTTGAAGTGAGTTGCGATACATGGAATCAAGCGAACTTAGGGGAACGGATTGCTTACTTCTTTGGGGATCTTCTTCGTCTAAGCAGCTCACACCAGGCTCCGCCGCAGGAGTCGCACTTCCAGCGCCCGGCTGCACATTTGGTTGTGAAGTCTGCCTTGCGAGGGAAGTGAATCTGGGAGGTAGGTTGAAGGGGAGTGGAGGAACGAATGTAGAAGCTATTAACGGTAAATCGGCATACTGTTTATTGGCAGCTCAACTAGGAAGTCAGGGATGCCTGATGATGCGCATTATGCTGATATAGAGTTGCACGTGGACAAAATGCAGCAAGATGAGGTGCCTTTCAGCAAAGGAGCCTTCGGCAACTTTCAGGCTGAGGCCCGAAACGAGCGTTTGTGAGGGTTCCGTCCAAGCCTTGCATCCTAAAGAACGTTTTTGGACCAGTTGGTCCAGGGCTGAGGTTTCATCTTGGTAAGGTACTTACTTTCCTCGGTATCTGGCGCAAAACCACATCTTTCATGTCTCAGGTAACAGATGGATTGTAAAAGGTTGCAGAGACAGCGGACTCGACGAGGTAGGGCACAGGGTTGGGCCCCTTTTCGCGAGCGAGTTGCAATTGCATCAGGGTAGCAGCTGCCGCAAGTATCCATGTAGTCTGAACCACTGTAGCCTGGGCGTGTACAAGGCGGGCTTGCGTCGTGCGGTTGAAACTTTGGTCAGTGGTGCGAAAAATGCTACCCTGAACGCAAAGACACCATGACAAAGACCATATATTAAGAGCACCTCTCACTGGTGATGTACAGCTGCCAGCCCCAGACTATAGAAAAGCCGGAGTCGACTGCGTCATGGCCAGGCAAGGCAGCAGGACTCCACAGCAGCGGAGGGAACAGGCAGGCTGGGCAAGCCAGAGTTGAGCAAGAGTTAGTACATTGGGTCTTGGCGGAGGCGTCCTCAATAAGACAATTAGGAGCTGTTCAAGGCTGCGATTTGTGACCCGGACCAGGAACGCGAATATGAATGCTTCTCAAAACCAGCGCAGTTGCTTCTCAGACTCCTCCCCACTCCCCCTACCCCTGCTCCTTCTCCTGCTACTCCTGCATAAGTTGGCTTGCTGCGATGCTCATGAGAAGCCTGTATGACTGGAAGTAAAAAGGTCATGCGCCTAGATCAAGAGATATCACGAGACTCGTGGCTGTTGCAGCTTGACCTGTCGCAATGCTAGCCCGGCCCAAGCCGTAAACACACAGCGTTAAGTCCCAACCACAGCAGAACTGCATGCGAAGTAGTAGCAGCAAACACCTCCGACTTTGTCTTCAAACTCTGCCTGCCTGGGTCGCAAAGGGTTTTAGGCCGCTTCGGGTGTGGTTTTCCGCCGCTGCCGTGGCAGGCTCGCGGGCTTCAGGTTTAGGTGTTGAGTCCTGCTGGCACGGAGTAAGGGCTTTCAAAGCTTTCAATTTGGACTTTGGGGGACACTAATGTTTGAGATTTGCGAGCGCGCTGCTACCAATATCTTACCCGCAATTAGGTGACTGTGCTTCCAACGCAGCACTTCGAACTCGTCCACTCACAGTTGCGCTGCTCCTCAATTGGGGGAAGTTATGTTATGCGTCGAGCTTTGAGTTCGTAGCACCAATAGTGCTTCAGCGTCCTGCAGGTTTGCGGCTTGCCCAGCTGCACCTAGCTACAATTAGTCAGTGCAGTTCACCAAGTGTGTCAAACCACGAAGCCAAGGTTGCTACAGTGACCAACATTCCAAAGTGCGAGCAAGTGCTGCAATGGCCCGATACCCGTGACCGGCATTCGGATTTGATCGCTTGCCAATCTTGTGGTCAGCCAGAGCCGCCAATCCCTAAAACCCATAATCAGACTGCCTTCACCTCGAGCTGTCACCGCGCTACACCTTGAGCCTCCCGCCTTGCCCGACCTCAGAATCCTCTCAAACGCTCCTGCCAGAAGCGGAAAATTAGAAAGTCCTGGGCCCAGTTGCAGCTTCATATGCCTGGGTCTTTGCAAAAACAAATAACCAAACAGGCGCGGT